GCTGTCATGTCCATTCTTCTCCAAAAGGACTCTCAGAACCGACTAATGCCTTGCGCTTATGTGTCCAAAAAGTTGACAGAGACAGAGCGTAGGTGGGCAGTTTGGGAAAATGAAGTGTTTGCAGTGTGATAGGCTTTATTGTCTTGGAGGCATTTCCTGGAAGGGGTGAAGGAGCCATTTGAGATGTGGATTGATCACAAGAACCTTAAGGCTCTAAAGACACTTGGAAGCTATCACCTAAACAAGTCCGCTGGGCTCAATACTTCAAGCAGTTCAACTTTAACATGAAATATATCCCCCCAGGAGGGAAAAACATACTGGCAGATGCCCTGTTGAGAAAACCCCAATTTGACAGTCGCTGAGAGGAAGTAGTGCAGACTATGATATCAGAAGCCCAACCAGCAGGCCAAGTAACCACCCAAGGCCAAGCCAACTGCAGTCCCAGATGCCTAGAAGACAAACTGAGTTGAAAGTGGCCCTTTTGACCAATCCCTGGTTTGCAGAGTATCAAACCGATTTGACAATAAATGAGGGATTGGCTTGGAAAGAGACAAAACTTTTTTCTTCCAAAAAGTTTTTAATTTTTTAATTTTTACACATCTCTTTACGTGGGCAATGTGGTTCCAGATTATGACACTTGTACATAATCATACTTTCATTTCCACCAAACTTATATAATATCATCTCATATCATTATGCATTTCACTCATCTTTAAATAAGTTTCCATTTCATATTTCAATTCATTAATTCAATATCAATATCATTTCATTCAAATATAGATTCCCAGTTCTTTATCCCCTATTATTTTTATTTTCAGCTTTCCACCTATTTTATTTAACATTTCACATCACTATTATCCTTAATTTTTCCTAAGCCAATTATATAATAAACAATTTAAAAAGAGTAAAAATAAAAACTAATATATATAGGATCCACATGGCAATTTTAAGATATCCTCCCTGAAATTGCTAAAATGACTTCTTATATCTCATTTCATTTTCACTTTTCTTTTAATCATTAATAATCATATTTTTTTAATTTTCTTTGCCAAAATTTGTATGTCTTAATATATTTCACTTTCCTTATAATCATTAATAATCATATTTTATCCAAATTTATCCAAATTTTATCTATATATTTTAATACACTTCCATTCCCATTTTAATCCTCCAATGTAAGGGTTCATAACAGCATAATTCATATATAGTTATAGATATATATAGTTACATAATCCTAGAATAATTTCCAGCAAATTTTTAACTAAATGCCAATATACATTCCCATATGGTATCCTCCTTATACAATTCCTAACCTTTATCTCTAAATCTCGTAACTTTATCATTCCTTTTAATTTTGGCTAGGTTTCCCTTTTCTAAGTTTCCCCAATCTTTCTTCCTTTTTCTTTCTAGTTTTATTTTTATTTCCCTGCCTGTTGGCCATCTCCCCCCCCGCTTTTCAGTTCTCTTTTTGTGGTTTCTTCCTACATATTCCCTTCTTCTTCTTCTTAGTTTTGAGTGTCTTATCTCTTTTATTATTGTCTCTAATGTCGATGTCTCTGTTTTAAGTCCTTTTATGTCCTTTGACAATGTTCCTTTTTCTTCATGCTCATCAAGGCTGTTAGTTTCCTCTTTTAATTCGTCCTCTCTGAGCTTCCTTTGTTCTTCCATGAGCTGTGACACCATTACTTTACTCAGCATTACCTCCACCAGTCTCATTCTTTCTTTAAATATCTCTCTCATATTTTGGAGCTCTGACTTAAATTATTTGCTTATTTCTTCCATTTCTTTGGTCTATTAAGTTATTCTTTATTTTGTTAAAAGTCAAGTTTTTTTGTTATAGTCCTTGTCAAAAGTTTCTGTTTATCTCACTTCCTCTTTCTTCTGTTTTCTTGTCACAATCAACCTCTAACAGTCCCAAAGTATTGCATTCTTTTATGTTTAACTATAATCCCCCCTTCTTTTTTTGTAGTTCCTTCTGGGGATCTTGTTATATTAATAATCTTTTATTCCATATATTCTCTCTTTCAAAAATTTATGCAACCAGTAATTTTCCATAGAAACATAAAAGAAGGAAATGTTTAAACCTTTGGTGGTACTCTATATCACTTTATTCTTAGAATTATTTTATTTTTAATTCACTTTTCTGTAGTATTAATATTAAATTTTATCAATTCCAAATAAGTCCAGCATTTTATCCAGTGCCTGATTAATGTCCAATTCTGTATGTTATTCCAAATTTAGTCTCTAATCACATATAATTCTTTTATTTCCAGTTTTTTCTTTACCTTATATTTTCCTCTTATTTCTCGTTCGCCGCTACCACTCTTTTTTTGAGGGCTCTTTTTTTCCACTTTTCAGGGTTATCAAAAAGAATGTTCAAAGTCTTTTATCCAGTTACACCACTCACCACTTTCACTCTCCAGCACAAACTTGTGTCCCGGCAGCTTCCCATCTTCAGGGCAGCCATTAAAGACTGCCGTTTCTCTCTGTCTTCTAGGGGAGTTTGCCAAGCCAGGGAGGGGAGATGCAGCTCCCCTCAACCCAGCTGGTGGTCTCCCCTTCTTCCTCCCACCTCTATGAGATGGGTCAGATGGATCCGGTCCTTTAAGCACCCCTGCAACAGGGTAAGCATGGATCAAAGCTGCACACAATCGTGCTCTCTGATCTGTCTTTGACAAGAACGCCACTGGAAGTCAAGGAAAGGGACAAAACTTTATTTTTTTTAAATATAAATTTTATTTGGGTTTTCACAAAAACATAATACAAATAAAATATCTTTTTTTGAGAATAGCATGATCCCGGGTTATCACTTCTCCATACAGACACAAACTCAATTTCATATTCATCTTTGTGTTCTATTCCATATCTTATTACTATTTTAACATTTTCTCCATAATTTTTCCCTTCCCTTGGTTTTCTCAACTTTATTTTTAATTATCTCAAATCTAAATTCAATTATATATCTTTTTCTAAGTTTCAATATCTTTCTAATCATTATATTTATACTTTTGTCTGTCCTGTTTCAATTTCATATTATCTTCTCTCATTAAACAAATTTTCCCCGTAGCTACTAATTGGAGTATGACACCTTTATATCTTTTAATTTTATCCATTCAACTCTTATTTAAACTTCAATTTATGCCTTTAGAATTATAACATTCAATATAGTACATAACTCCCAATCAAATTCTGCTTGGTACATTCTTAAAATACACACTATGTTTATATTTATTTATATATATATATATACATACATACATACATACAATAGTAAATGAAACACTCATTCCATTCCAATTCAATTCTATCATTAATATTAGTTACAATCTTAACATCTTTAACATTTCTTTTCATTTGAATATCATACTTCCTTGGGAACACTTATAAACTTTCCATAATTAATTCTTTTTTTCCACATTTCTCCACTTATATTTTTATAAATCATTAATAATAATTAAAATGTTCCCATCTTTTCCTAATTTCATTCTCTTATTCTCTTTATTTCATTTATTTATAAACAAACATCCCATTGCATTACAATAAGTATTTTATCCATCATTTTAATCACACTTGTTTCATATTTTCAAAGTACATTTCTATTTCTAATATAACAATACTACCTTATGTACCCTTGCAGAATCCCCTTTTCAATTAAGTTTTCACCCATTATCTGTGTCTTCTAAATAGTCTTATACCTTTAATCCTTGTACATTTTCCCTGTTTCTCTGTATCTTGTTTCTGTCTTTTATAATTTCTTTTTCTTTCCTTCTTCCTTCTCTTCTTCTCCCTCCCCCTTTTGCCCCCTTGGTGTCTCTAATTCTGATTCTCTCTTCTGTAATCCTCTCTTCTGTTTCTTCCTAATGTTGTAATTACTTTTCAAACTATTCTTTTTGTTGTTGTTGTTTTTTCAGATCTTAAATTTTTCGCTCTCTTTCCCCCCTTTCCTTTCATTTCCCCACATAGAATTACTTGATCATTGCAGATGGCTTCTTCTTTGTCCTGCCCTTCTTGTTCTACTGGCATTTCTTGTTGTTTCTCATAGTTCAGGATCTCCATTTCTAAAAACTGAAATGCTCTTCCTTCTTGTGCATCTTCTTTCTGTTTTTTTAAGTTCAATTTTCAATTCTTCCAAGAGTGATACCATTTTAAGAACTTTTAAACAACCACCCGATTAATTTTAGTCCTTTAGATCCAATAACCAAAAATCCAAAAATCACCAAATAATCCAAGTAATCCAAAGCTGTTTCTTCTTGCTTCTTTTTTCCCACTTTCTCTTCCTGGGGTTCTATTATCTTGTTACAAAGTTTCAGTTAGAATGTATCATTTAGGAATCTTGTTAAAGTTTCACTGTAAGTTCCTTTTAGTTCCAGGCAGTCTCCTCCATTTTTCCAGATCCCGCCCTTCTATTCTTTCCTTTTCTCTCCTTTCCTTCTTTTAAAAGTTTTTGAGTATCCAAAAGTCTTTATTATCCCTCTGACATTTTATTTTCAGCTTAAATGCTATTGATGTCAAAGTGGATTTTAGCTGGTTTCTTGCTTAAATCTCTTAGTTGTCAATATGAGGAAGGAAAGAAAAAAAATGAATCCTTTCCCTTCCCTCTCTCATTTGCCGTTTCAAAGTCTTCTTTGGGAGCAATGATTCTTTATAATTCAAATTCCAGGGTACCTTACGTTGCTGCTTTTTCAGTTCAACCTGGTCAACCAAAACTCTCTCTTCTTATCTTCCTCCTGCACATTCTTTTCCAGTTGTTCTTCTTTGAGGTGGCCATTTCTGACCATGGCTGCAACCACCTTTGGGAAAGGGAGTAATGGCCAGCTGAGGAGGAGAGATGCTACTCTCCTCAACCCTGCTGGTGGTCTCCCCCCTCTTCACGACCTCTACGGGATGGCTTAGCCCTGAATCCAGCCAGCTCAGGATGCTCGCGGATTTTGGTCCATTGCCAAAGAAGCTCAAACTGGAAGCAAGAAAAGGGACAAAACTTCATGTACCCAATAATCTAAGACTAATGGTACTAAAGCATAGCCATGACTCAATGTTGGGGGACACTTTTTGGGTTCTTAAAAACCCTGCATTTAGTCATAGGCAGTTCTGGTGGCCAAAAATGAAACCTGATGTTCAAGACTATGTGAAAAGCTGCTCAATTTGTGCCACAATGAAACGCAGAACTGGAAAAACCCCTGGCCTCCTCCAACAAGTAGCTGAACCAATGAAGCCGTTGGAAGAAATCATGATGGACTATTGTAGAATTACCTGAGAGTGGAGGGAATACAGTGATTTGGACTGCTATCAACTTATTCTCTAAGCAAGCCCACTTTACAGCCTGTAAAGGACTACCTTCAGCTAAAAAGCTTGCAAACCTGTTTGTGAAGCATATCTATAGGCTCCATGGAGTACTTCATAGAGTAATCTCAGGCCGAGGTGTACAGTTTACTGCTAAGTTCTGGAGGGAGTTTGTAAAGTCCATTGGGTCATCCCAGGGCTTTCCTCAGCATTCCATCCTGCGTGCAATGGGGCATCTGAGAGAACAAATGCCATGGTGGAACATGCTGTGTAAATTATGTTAGATGCTATGTAAATTATCAACAGAAAAACTGGGCGGAGCTCTTGCCATTTGCAGAAGTTGCTTACAATAATGCAGTACATAGCAGCACAGGCTTGACTCTATTCCAAATCAACACTGGCATGGAATTTGTCCCTACACTGGAATTACCTAGGGAACCCCCCACATCCATGTCTTTAACGGAATGGATGGACTCATTAAGAAAAGGTTGGGATGATACAAAAAAAGCTTTAACTGAAGCTGCTGAAGAATATAAAAAGCAAGCAGACAAACATAGGTCCCTCCAACCACCATCTAAAGTAGGAGACGAAGTGTTTTTGTCAACTAAATATCTCAAATTAAACTTCCTAGTAGGAAGTTGGGCCCTAAATTCTTAGGTCCTTTCCCTATATCAAAAATAATCAATCCAGTCACAGTCCAATTAAGGGTAAAATATATTCAATGGGTAAAATATTGGGTAAAATATATCCAATGCTCCATAGTAGTTTATTAAAACCAGTTATAGGATCAAATCTAAGGCCCATTCCAACAGCTCCCCCCAAACATTTGATTGTATAGGGTGAGACACATTATGAAATTTTAAAAAAATTGATTCTAGATTGCACTGAGGAAGATTACAATACTTGGTATTGTGGAAGAGTTACCCTTTGTCAGAAGCTATGTGGGTAAAAAGTTGGGATGTACATGCAGATAGATTGATTAACCAATTCCATAATGAATTCCCTGACAAACTGGAGGGTCCCCTTGGAGGGGGGAGAGGAGGTTAAGGGCATCACCCTGGTTGTGTTTTGTTTATGATCTCTTTAGGAGGTAAACTTCTCAAGGGGAGACGCCTGTCAGCTTTGGAAGCCATATTCCCTGCTGCCACATAGTTTGAGAAAGTGGGAGGGGGGTGATTTCAATTGAGTGGTTCTAAGTAGACAAAATAAAATTCTTTTCTTAGTTCAAGGTTATTAAGTGTGGAGCAGAGAAAAAGGATCTTACACTGGGATGGATCATGATTGGTCCATGTGATGTGATGATGGGGGAAAGGGGGATGGATTGTAGTTTGGGACATTGTGGGAAGTCCAGGAAAATTTAGTTTTGAGATTCCACAGATGTGCCAGGTGCTATTCTAATAAAGGTACTTTTGAGATTATGCTTGTCTCGGAGTTACTGATTGGAATGGAGGTTTGCTGGAACACTGACAGCCGCATCACCCAGTGCAGTGCTCTTCCCTGAGGGCTGCCTGCTCACCCATCCACCAGCCGGACTGGCCCAGAAATGGTGCCCCACCTTGGCCTCCTCCCACATGGCCACCAGCTTCTTGACATGAGCAGAGACTGCTGGTTAGAGGGAGGGGAACCTCAGTGCTGGGCTCCCGTGGTGGTGAGTGCCAAGAGCATAGCTAGAATTGGAATAAAAGGCTGTGCAGCTGTGGTGGAACGAACTAGGGTAACACCTGGCAGCTTGGATGAGCAGTTGTGAGCAAGGCAGTGGCTGTTCTTACGTCAAGAAGCTCTGGTTCTTTCTGCCACAGCCACACAACCTTTTATTCCAATTCTAGCTATGCCCTTGGCACTCACCACCACGGGAGCCCAGCACTGCGGTTTCCTTCCTCCAACCTCTACTCGTGTCAAGAAGCCAGTGGCCAGGCAGTTTGAGGCCAAAGTGGGGTGCTGTTTCCAGGCCAGTCCGGCTGGTGATTGGGCGAGCAGGTGGCCCTCAGAGAAGAGCACTGCACTGGGTGATGTGGCAGTGGTGGCAGCCAGAGCATGCCACAGCTGTTCGCTTTCAAGTAGCCAGTGACCAGGCGAGAGGAGGCCCAGTACGGGCACAAGGTGGGGGAGGCCTGGAGAGGCTCGGAGAGACCTGGGGATGGCTGGGCAAGGTTCAGGGATGGCTGGGCAAGGCCCGGGGATGGATGGGCAAGGCCCGGGGATGGATGGGCGAGGCCTGGGGATGGTTGGGTGAGGCCCAGGGAGGCAAGTGGTGGTGGTGGGGAGGAAAGACGACTGGCAGTGACAGCAAAATTCAAGTAGTGGGGTGGAAGGGGAAAAACAAAAGGCAAGTGGTGGGGGGGGAAGGTGACCGGGGCTTACAGAGCCTTACTCACCCAGAGAGACCAGGCAGAGCCACAGTGAAAGCCAGGCAGCAATGGCTGGCCTGGTGGGTGGGAAAAAGCAGGCTGCAGGCACGTCGTGCATGCGCACGATGTTGCACATGTGAGATAGGGACTGACAGGACAGGGAGCAGAGAAATGGGCAGAGATGGGCAGGGCCAGCTAAAGGCCTGATTTATCGGTTCTCTGAACTACAGAGAATCATAACAACCGGTTCTACCAAACCGGTCTGAACCCGTAGAATCCCACCCCTGGTCACGATGCCATAACTCTTGGGGTGGCTGATACAATGGAAAAAAACCCCTGCAGAGACAAGGTTAGGGCTGTGAAAAACTTGCCTTTGTTTGTGTTTAAAAGTAAAACAACATTGGGCCAAGTTAATCCCTGAATGGGGATTTACAGTGATGGCAAACCTGAAAAGTGGCACACGCACACTCATCAGAGCCACATTCCAGAAAAGCCAAACTTCCAGGTTCTAGCATGCATGTGCGCCTGATGATCAGCTAGCCGGTACACATGTGGAGGACAGCTTTCGGCATTGCAGTGCACGTGAAGGGATTGCACTCTGGAAAAGCAGAATTTCCAGGTTCTGATGCACATGCACACCCAACAATCAGCTGGCCAGCGGCATGTGCACACCAGTTTTCAACACTGCCATCTGTGCGAAGGACAGCTGATCGTTGCACACACATGCACACCAGAAACCCAGAAGACAAACAGGCAAGGCCGTACAGCCAGGTGACATGGCTTCACGTGCCACTTTGGGCATGTGTGCCATAGGTTCACCATCATGGGTCTAGAGAATATGAGGTATGTCAGCCCCACTGGACACCAGGAAATCAATTCTGCTGTAAAGTTAAAATGCATTTTATTGAAAGGGGTTATAATAGCAGGATCCTGCCAATATGCTGGTGCTGTACCTCACCCCCGGCTTTCACCTTCTAATGAGGACAAGGCTAACGTCTGCCTCAGCCTCTTCTGAATGCTGTCTTGTTTCTTTGGACTTAAAAAATGTTTCAGTAATTTTGCTTAGATAACAGTTCTTGCCTACTTCTATCAAGATCATGTACATTACAAGGAATAGCAGAATATCAGAGTTGGAAGGACCTTGAAAGTTTTCTTGTACAACCCACTATTCAAGTAGGAAATCCTATACCAGGGGTCTTCAAACTTGACAGCTTTAAGACTTGTGGACTTCAACTCCCAGAATTCCTCCTCCAGTCAGGTTAGCTCAGGAATTCTGGGAGTTGAAGTCTATAAGTCTTAAATTTGCCAAGACCATTGCTTTATACCATTTCAGACAAATGGTTGTCCAATCACTTCTAGAAAAACCTCCATATTTGAGCATCCAGAACTTCTGGAGGCAAGTTGTTCCACTGATTAATTTTTCTGTCAGGAAATTTCTCCTTAGTTCTCAATTGCTTCTCTCCTTGATTAGTTTCCATCCATTGCTTCTTATCCTGCCTTCAGGTTGACCCCCTCTTCTTTGTGGCATCTCCTCAAATAATAAAACACTGTTATCATGTTGCCCCAGTCCTTCTTTTCATTAAATTATGTTCATAGACTTGAGCTAACGCAAGCATTATCTGAATATTTAAAATTACTAATACATGATATTCTATAAATGGTGGACTTTATTTTTAATATTTTTAAAAGGTGCACAGGTACATGAAGGGAAAACTTTGGGATAGCATCCTTGTCTTCTGTCAAAGTACAGGGACATGCTCAGTACAGCAATTATGCTTATGCTGATTCATTTTCTCTCAAACTAATAAAATGAAATAAATCCCCAAGGCTTATTTATCCAGCACTATATAATTAATTAATTAATTAATTATTTAATTAATTATTGTAGTGAGCCTTTTGTTGTCATCTAGCTTTAATAGTTCCATGAGATTCAGACTCAGGAGAGAAGACGGATACTGGGAAGAGGATTGCCATACACAGTATTTCTTTACTCAGTCTGTAGTGAAGACCAGAAGCCTGCCAAAAAAAGTTTAAAAAGTGAGTGACATTTTATTCAAAAACTTCAGTCAGGATGTTAGAATATTAGAATAATATATAAAAGAAACAACAAAATAAAAAGCAGCTGTAAAAACTGTGTTCCAAGGTAGTTAACTTTGATGGTGGAGGGGACATTTCACATTTTTAGTGGTTAGGGACTATTGTGGGCAGAGTAAAGATGCCAAAGGAGTGGAGCAAGATTTTCAGAGGGCCTTAGTCTGAGGAACAATTTAAGTGGTTGTTTTGTTTCTTCCTTTCTCTATTACAAAATTAAATCTATTATAGAGGGTTTTTTTCTATGTGGTTTTCACCTTAAAAAGGTAGGCAACTATTTCACCTATTTTCAGAAACTCCAGTTAAAGGTAGTTTGCTTCTTTTTTAACTGAGTTAATCACAGTTGGGTAGGCAATACTAATTAATACATCAAAGTTTACAAATCACAATTCATATCATATGCAAAGCTCAAGCTATATTATGTTTTAGCACAGAGTATGAATGCAGTATAGAAAAAAGTCAAGCAGCAAGGATACCAAGGTAACACCAAGGGACATCTACAGTACTACAAAATTGAAAAAGAGAATTCCTATGAGCCTCCCGTGTAAACCCAAAGGTTCAAAAGGCCACTTTTGTCAGTAAAAATGAGTTTTAATTTGCCACAATGTCACAAGCGTCTTGTTTTATCACTACCATGATTGAAAATGAGTGTGCAAGGTATATCCATTATTTTTAAAAAAAAACTGTACTTGGAGGGGACCATATGCAGGCAGGGGCCTCTCAATCTCCAGAAACAAACATGCTTATTCCTTAAGACCCGAAAGCACTGCTCTCCATCCTCTGGCTTTTTCATTTCACCATTTCCTATTAAAGAAGGCAAAGCCTAGCCATTCTCTATGCTTGTCAGCTGTCAAGATAGATTTGCTACAGCACCCATTATTTGTTGCTGAGAAGTCATTCTTCCAAATTAGAGGAGAAGTCATCCATCTGTCCAAAAGTTTCTTGTGTAACTGAGCACCACTGATGAAAGAAACTCCTGTTACAAAAGCTGCAGCGTTATGATCACAGGGTTTGTAACAGATAACACCCAATGGCCATAAAATTGGGAAAAGGATAAAACATTTCTAAAATTCAGTAAGGAACGAAGATGAAGATAATTTTCCATCCCTGGAAAATTAGCATATCGTGGGGGATTTGTGTAGCACACCATGGAGAGTCTCAGAGCTCATCTGGTACCAGTTCCAATTGCCTTTTTGCTCATTGTTCCAGAAACCTAGACAGTTCAGAGAACAAGTGGAAATTCAGCTGTGGACTTGGCTTCTGAATTTCCAAGTGTCATGATGCACAGAAGAAAAGTATCAGAAGAAAATGGAATCATTTGCAGCATTAGAAGAAGAAGCAATAGTGGAAAATATTCCATATATTATCATAATGAAAGTAAACAAATACCGAATCTGTCTGAATCATGATCTAACATGGAGCTTTGTTCAGCTTGTCACAGCTGGATTCTGGAATCTTCTGGAAGGCAGTCATTTTTTAACGATAGAATTGCAGTCAAACAAATTTATGCCTTAAATAGTTGAGTGTTATTTGATCAATTGATCTATGTTTGCTGTGGTGATGGCTGTTTTGGATTAATGAAATGCTACTCACCTTATTTATATTGTCAACCGCACACAGCTAAAGGTATCACCATCTCTTATCAGTGATACGAAAGAAAGGAATAATGATGCAGAAAGACAATTTTCTGCTGACATTCAAATAAATTATATTTCAAAATATGCTTTCATATCCTGTGACAATGACTCCAGGCACTATATATGCACCAAGAAAAGTACAGCCCACAGGCATTTTATGTCAAATCTGACTTGCTGAAGTTTAAGGTGAGCCTGAACACATTTATATGTATGAAACCAAAAAGAGAGAAAAGAGAAAGAATTTTTCCTTGCTCCAGGCAAACATTAACATTATACCCTGAAAGAATCTAAAAGAGGAAAAAGACACATAGGACAAAAACATACTTGAAATTCAAATATCCTGTTCATTGAGAAATTCCTAGCACTACCCTGAATTTCTCTTTTAAAAAAAAACCAGTTTTGCAATAATTTTTAATTCCTCAATAAATAAGAAAAAGATATCTGGGCTAAGTATGTTAAGAGGAGTCATCTCTGAATAACCAGTGAGGTATGCAAATATAGGAAAACAGATTTCCCCAAGGCCTAACATAATATGCACTCTATATTAGTGCTTTTTGCTTGAGTTTATACAAATATGCTCAGCTATCTATTCAATTAGCAAAAATGATAAAGATACTTGAGCTAATAGACAAATAGATCATATTTTTTAATAAGCAGGATTCTGCTCCTTCAAGTAGAAGCCATGCATATATTATCAAATATTACCGGTATAAAAAGATTTTTGGTATTATATGTTCACATAAACAAACATGTTGTGTAATGGAGCATCAAATGCTATCAGTGAGGTAATCTATAATTATTAGAAAGCTTTTGTCTTCTCTTTCTTTAAAGATATACATCACTAAATTAAACCGCCATATTGAGGGCTAGATAATCCTGCATGAAAAGGCATGCCCTCAAAGAGCTATCCTACATGCTATAGAGCAGGGATGTCAAACTCAAGGCCTGTGGGCCAGATCTGGTCCATGATATGGTCAGATCCAGCCTGTGCAACCATCCTGTAAATAGTAAGGGGCTGGCCCGTGTCGCTTTGGGCCTGGCCCATCCCATCCTGGTGGGTGTGCATGTGCGCAGGAGGCAGTGGGCACACATACACACAGGCCTGTCCCATGACATCCCAGCAGGTGCATGTGTGCATAGGCAGTATTGGTTGGGCCAGGTCTGTGCACGTGTGTGCCCACCACCTCCTGAGCCCATGTGCACCCAGTGGGATGGGATGGGAAGGACTGAAGTGACATGGGCTGGCCCCTTACCATTTCCAGGATGGCCGCACTTACCAGCCTTTCAAACATGTGTGCACGGGGGAGAGGTGTCCTGCAACAGGGACCCCACAGCTCACCCTCTAAGAAACAGGCATGGTGGAGTCGGCACTGGCACTGGTAGTAGGCAGAGTTGGAGGGGGAGGCCTGTGATGCGCATCATCAGACGTGCCTGCTGCATCCAATATGGCTGGGACAGGGCAGGTGGCTGCCTGGCACATCCAACAGGCCAGACGACATGCCTCTCCCCTGTGCCTCCGCCTCTGGCTACTACTACCACCATGGGCCAAGACAAGGAGGGGGTGGGGCAGCTGCTGCCAGACACCATCAGCCCACCTACTCCTGTTGTGGTTCACCGGTAGCAGGTGCGGACGGCTGAGGTCTCTGAGAGCGAGGACTCAGATGAGGGGTCTGCGTGTGATGCAGGGATGGGGCCAGGATCATCAGGGAGTGGAATGCTGCCATCGGAGATTATGGAGGCTGGCAGCAATGATGAAGAAGCCTGTGCCCAGTGCGCGTGCGTGCAAGGCTGCTCAAAGGAAAGAGCAGTTGCAGCAGCATGGGTGACTCAAGAGTAAGGCTGCAAAGTAATGGCCCCTCCTTTAAGAGATAAAAGCCAGCTGAGAAACAGGAATTCTTTGCAGGAAACAAAGAAGTTTTTGCACTCAAACCCGGTGGACATTCGGAATATCTTGGCTAGTGTTTGGAGACTCTTTGTGTTCAAAATATTTCTTAGTAACTTTATCTTGTGCTCTTGGCAGCCTTGCACAACCTTGGCAAGGCTCGTTCTTATCAGAGACAATTAGTTTGAAATAGCCTTTTAACCATGAAGGAACAGAATTCATAAAGAATCCTTAAAAGGTTTTGCTGTTACCTCTGTTTCGTGTTTGTTTCCTTGGAACAAGGTTTGGGTCAGAACAGTTTGTTTCCGGCCCAAATTAAACCTATTTTTTACCGCAAGATGGAACAGCTTCAAGCAGAGATTGCTCAGTTGCAACAACAGTTGGCCTTGTTAGCTAATCAGATAGGTCAGCTCCAGGCTCTTGCTGCTCCACCTCCTCATCCCCTAAGAAAATGCCCAGGTGTTGTGCCGGATAAGTTTGACAGCAACCAGGCTATGTTCCCAGCATTTTGGGGATAGTGCCAACTATTCATTAGCTTGAGAGCGGAGGACCTCCCACTGACCGGGATAAGGTAGGTTTTATAATTAGCTTGTTCTCTGGCTCTGCAGCACACTAGGCCACACCTTTGTTGGTGCTGGAGAGTTATTTGTTGAATGACTTCCAGCGGGTTTGTGACCATCTGCGTTTGATGTATGAGGACCCCATCAAGATCCAGACTGCTGTCCATCATTTGAAAGACCTGCAGCGAGTTCCAACCGCTTAGCCAGAATTTGGCCTGGAATGAGGCAGCACTTATGGACACATTCCAGCATGGGTGATCAGACGAGTTGCCAGACAAGCTGGCATGAGTGGATTGTCCCACAACCCTCAACACACTGATTCATCTGTGCCTGAGGATTGATGCCCACCTGCAGAGGCAGGGCTGTTGCCATGCTTCCTGAGAGATTCCTGTGGCCCCTGTTGTGCATGAGGCCCTGGCTCCATAGGAGGAGCCCATGGACCTAGGTGCTGCCAGGCTCCACCTGTCAGTGATCAAGCACAATAGATGATGCATCAAGGGGTTGTGCCTATACTGTGGGGAACCTGGGCATATGGCTGCTTCATGCCCCCAAAAGTAATGAGAGGCATCGGCCCCAGTGCCTGCTCCCCAGACCCAGCAAACTCAGTCAGTTCCTGTGCCTGCTCCCCGGACCCAGAAATCCTTGTCAGGAAATGGGCGGAGCCCAATCTAGTGGAAACCCTGGGTGCACGGGACTTGAGTCACATCCCACAGACATGGATTCTGGACCCCCTTGGAATTTGATCCTGGAGACCCAAGTTTTCCTGGTCAATAGTTCACAGAGGATTCCAGCGCACGCTCTGGTGGATCCTGGAGCCACCACAAACTTCATGGATGCGGCCTTTGCAGCCCCTCAGTGCCTTGTAGAACCTTCTCTGCTTGTCAAGACCATCGATGGCCGGGTGCTTTCGTCTGGCTCTATCAAGGCTGCCACCCAGCCCTTGCGCCTGACTATCAGCTCACATGAGGAGGCAATCCAGTTTTACATTACTTCCAGACTGCATTTCCTGTGGTCTTGGGCTTGGTGTGGCTCCAGACTCATGACCGCCAGATCTATTGGTCCCAGAACATGATCACGTTCCTGAGCCTGCAGTGCATAGACCACACCTGTCAAGTCTGCGCAGGGCAGGTGATGAGTCCACCTGAATTATCTGTGCCTTTGGAACTCGTAGACTTTGCGGACATTTTTAGTGAGCAGGAGGAAGACCAATTGCCTGCACACTGGCCTTATGATTGCCGTATTGACTTGGTGCCAGACACACCCCTTCCCATGGGCCATCTGTATTCCATGTTGGATATGGAGTTGGCTGCGTTGCCACTCGAGGTTTTATCCAGCCTTCATTGTCACCACTGTCTGGCCCAGTCCTGTTCATCAAGAAGAAGACAGGCGACTTGTGTCTGTGCTGTGATTATCATCAGTTGAATGCCATCACAGTGCACAATCAGTACCCTCTGCCCTTGATTCCAGAACTGATAGAGCAGTTCTGGGAGGCTACTGTGTTCACAAAGTTGGACCTGTGTGCAGCGTACAATTTGGTGCAGATCCGGCCTGGAGATGAGTGGAAGATGGCATTCGGTACAATCATTTTGAATATATGGTCATGCCACTGTCTTCCAGCATTTCACGAATGACATTTTCTGGGACCTCCTAGATCAATTTGTGGTGGTTTACCTTGACGACATTTTGATCTATTCCAATTCGAGGGACAGCCACCTGCACCACTTGTGTCTGTTCTGCAATGGCTCTGGGAGAATCATTTGTACACCAAGTTGGAGAAGTGCTACTTCTTCCAGTCCACCATTGAATTCCTGGGGCATTGCATCTCTCTGGGAGGCATCTCCATGGAATCAAACAAGGTTGAGTCACTGCTTGGTTGGCAACCTCCCCGGCGACTGAAGGATGTCCAGGGACTCCTCGGATTTGCCAATTATTATCGGACCTTCATCCCCGGCTTCGCTTCCCTGACTGCGCCTCTCACTCAGCTCCTCCAGAAAAAGGTGCCATTCTGGTGGGGTGCTCCTGAGCAGCAGGTATTCCAGGCCTTGAAGCAGGCCTTCATGAAGGCGGCCATCCTGAAGCACACTGATCCACACTGTTTATTCATGGTGGAAGCGGATGCGTCCTATGTGGTGGTCAGTATGGTGCTCCTCTAGGTTCACACCTCTGGTGGTACCCTTTTCCCTTGCGCTTATTATTCCAGAAAGCTCAATCCTGCCAAGTGCAACTATACCATCTGGGAGAAGGAGCCATTAAGGAGGCATTTGTGGCCTGGAGGCATCATTTGGAGGGGTGCACCATCCAGTGGAAGTCCGGACGGATCATAAAAACTTGGAGTTTTTAAAAACTACCTGGAAATTAAATCAACACCAGACGCAGTGTACCCTCTTCTTTGCCCGCTTTAATTTCTGCATCACCTACATTCCAAGTGGTTGCAACCAACAGACGGATGCACTCTCATGGAAGCCCAAGTACTTGCGTGCAGAGGACCAACTCCCATTCTGGACGGTGCTGCTCGTAGAGTTTTCTCTGCTGTGCAGGAGCCAGTGGACTTATGGGTGCAGATATAGGAGGCACAGTAGCACGATGCTTGGGTGGATCAGCGGAAGCAAGAGGTAGTACTCAACTCTCCATGGTCATTCATGGAGGAACTCTTGCACTACTGCAACAAGCTCTATGTCCTGGCAGGGCCACTCCAAAGGACTTATCTTGTCACAGTGCCACGACAATCCTGCGGCGGGGCACTTTGGCCTCTTCAAGACTTTGCATCTTGTGTCACTTTCTGGTGGCCTCAACTATGACACAACATGCAGTCCTATGTTATGTCTTGTGTGCAATGCTGGCAGGCCAAGTCAGCAACAGGGGCTCCCCCAGGACTGCTCCAGGCCTTGCCAACACTGGGGAGACTTTGGGGTGCCCTTTCAATGGACTTCCTGATGAATCTACCCTCCTCATCAGGATTCACCATGGTGTTCATGGTGGTCGACATGTTGACAAAGATGGCACATTTCATTCCATGTCGTGGCTTACTCACGGCTCGCTCCACCGCCCACATGTTTATCCAGCACATCTTCCGGCTACGTGGACTCCCAGATCAGGTTATATTGGACCGAGGGACACAGTTTACAGCCCAATTCTGGAAAGGGCTGATGATGGCTTTGGACATTAAAATCTGTTTGTCATCATCTCACCATCCAGAAACTGATGGGGGGACAGAGAAAGTTATCAGGATCCTGTAGCAATATCTGCACTGTTTTGTCAATCAGCAACAGGACAATTGGGTGGACTACTTAGTGGTTGCAGAGTTTGGATTCAATAACTTGCAGCACACCTCCACGCAAACCACCCCTTCCTCGCCAATGTGGGCTATCATC